GGCTTGTTTTTATTATTTGTTTTCATTTTTATATTTCAATAATTGTATTATTATTTATTATTAATACATTGTTTTATTATTTTATTGATATTTGTTTTATTTCTGAGATGATGCTAAATTAAATATTCAGTGTGGCAAGGTCATGTGACGACAATGTAGCAAAATACTGTTATCTGTATACTGTAGCATCTTATCATTGCATAATGTATTCTGTTTCACATAATATTTTTAAAAAGTAGTAGGTAGTATACAGTGTGTACTCTATTCCAAACATAACCCGTGTCTCTGTGTCTGTCTGTAGCATATCTCTGGACAGTGGCGTTCCTCCCTCTCCGTCCATCATCCCTCGTTCCAGTGGAAGTGTCAGTGTGATGGATGAGAGTGGTGTTGAAGTGGAGGTGAGGATGATGAAGATATTGCTGTGACATTTTTCGTCCAATCACAAAAATGGACCATTGATTGCAGCTCTCCATGATGACATAGTCATGCTCAGGTGACTCTTTCTGTTCTTCCAGGTGAAACTGAGGAAATCCAAGAAGAAGAAGAAGCCCGGTCGTGGCAGCATGATCTTCATCAGCGAGGAGAAAGAGCGGAGCAGCACCCTCAACAAACGGGTGAGACAAGATATACATTTAGAAATAAATCAGTAAAAGTTAAATATGCGCAGAAGTAAGTACATCTAAGAATACATGTAAGAATAAATAATAAAGTATTGTGAAAGTGAATAGTTGAGACAAAATACTTGACATGCCCTGGCTGTGGTGTGATATAATACTAATAATTTAACTAATTATTTTATATTTATATATTATATATTGTTATATTTGTACTTTAAAAATGAATGTATCACACCACAGGACCAATTCAAATAAAATACTGACGGAAAAATGGTGATTAAAAGTAGAAAAAAATTTTTTTTCAATGATGATCAGTTATAGCACGTACAATATACAGATTCATAGAAATTTTAACCAAATATCTTAATGTTGTAATATTTAATTTATTTATTTATTTCATTAATTGTATTTAATAAAAACAATTCAGACACATTGAAACACCTTTACCCCACGAGTTAATTTATTGAGTATTTTTGCAAGTTTGGTCCTTCATTAACTTGTTTTTGTTTTTATTTCATAGTGGTTGTGATGATATTATTATGGTAACTATTAGTTTAACTCTCTGTCTCTCTCTAGCTCTCCAAGAAGCAGGAGTTTCGCAGTGACACGAATCTGTCAGAGCCGAGTGTGAGCAGCGGCCTCGTCAACTCCCGATCTCTGCCCACTATTGCAGGTACATCATTCATATCATAGTGACTCCTCTCATTCCCTTTTGTTGTTCTTCATTTTAGCTAATGAAATTCATGTAAATGTTTAGTAACCCTAAACTTTTGTGGAAAAAAATGTTGTTGTATCTTTATGAAGCTGTCTACTTCCTGTTTTGTGGATACCAAAATTCTCAACAACAAAACAGGAAGAAGTCCATATTAACAGACGGTTGATTTCACATGCTGTCCTCAGGTCTGTCTCTGTCAGTAGCCAATGGGAGTGAGGAGGTGGAGTCAGCGCGGTCCAAGCGTGACAGTAAAAGCGTTTCTGTGTGTCTGCCATCTGACCGCACCGGTGACCGTCGCTCCAAAGGAGTCATAAACCTGCTCTTTAAAACCAAGGTAACACACTCAACAGAGCTTTAACAAGCCACAAACACTGTGATGTGGCTTCCCATCATGCACCACATGCACAGTATATACTGTATATCACTACCTTTATTCAAGTGTGAATATGTGTGTGTGTTTTTCAGATGAACTCCAAACCTGATGAAGCAAAAACATCTTCCGAACCGTCTGAACCATCCACTCATTTTTAATTCTGTCTCTTTAGTTTTTTTATTAGCATTTTGGCTGTTCATTTTTCTACCACTCTTAACTTGAATCTGTTACAAACAGAAGTGATAAAGCTCTTAAAGCCTGATAGTAACAGAGCTGTAGAAGAAAAAAGAGCCTTGATTTCATTGAATGTGTTCGAAAACGAACTCTAATGAAATGAAGTCAGTGTTTTAAACATTGTATCGTCTGTACCAGCAATAAACTCTTTTACAATTCTGAAATTTTATCTTTATTATAAATATATACACATAGACTGTAGATATAATTCAGTTTTTTTTCAATGTCATGGTAAATTCATTCACATTCTTCGTTTCGAGGTTTAGTGGATGATCTAATCTAGTGATTACAATACAATGTATTTGACGGTTCCAGCAATTTAAAAAGTTCACACATTTTATTGATGTAACAAGAGAACAAGAAGCATAAACAGTTACATGTGGTTATGATTCAAGCCTAAATTATTTTAAAGTCATCACAGAATATTACAAATAATCGCATGTATCAGTACTTCATATACAGGTGCATCTCAAAAAATTAGAATATCGTGAAAAAGTTATTTTTTTTGTAACTTGTTTCAAAAAGTGAAACTTTCATATATTCTAGATTCATTACATGTAAAGTAAAACATTTAATACGTTTTTTTGTTTTAATTTTGATGATTAGAGCTAACAGCTCATGAAAGTCAAAAATCCAGTATCTCAAAATATTAGAATATTTCCTAAGATCAATTAAAAAAAGGATTTGCAAAACAGAAAAGCCAGGTAAGATGCTTCTGACGTTGTTTCTGTTTCAGAAGTGGCTTGGTAGCCCTTTTCCTAAAGACGTCTGAGCATGGTGACTCTTGTTGCACTGACTCCAGCTTCAGTCCACTCCTTGTGAAGCTCTCCCAAGTGTTTGAATCGGCTTTGCTTGACAGTATTCTCAAGCTTGCGGTCATCCCGGTTGCTTGTGCACCTTTTCCTACCCATTTCTTCCTTCCAGTCAACTTTGCATTTAATATGCTTTGATACAGCACTCTGTTTCAGTAATGACCTTCTGTGACTTACCCTCTTTGTGGAGGGTGTCAATGATTGTCTTCTGGACCATTGCCAAGTCAGCAGTCTTCCCCATTATTGTGGTTTCAAAGAACAAGAGATACCCGGAATTTATACTGTAGGGATGGTCATTTAATGAAACTCAAACATAAATATTCTAATATTTTGAGATACTGGATTTTTGACTTTCATGAGCTGTAAGCTCTAATCATCAAATAAAAAAAAAATAAAAAAAACTTGAGATGTTTTACTTTACATGTAATTAATCTAGTATATATGAAAAATTCAGTTTTTGAAATGTTACAAAAAAAAGAGAACTTTTTCACGATATTCTTATTTTTTGAGATGCACCTGTATGAACAGCTGAGAAAAGTTCCTAATAAAGATTATTCAAAGACATGAGGTATGTTTACATGCACTAATTTTTGTTAATCAGAATGAATCTAGTCGAATTCAGAATCTTCAAATTCTGTTTATATAGACCATAGATGTTAAAATTTGATTAACATATTCATGTGAATTACATGTATTCTGGACAATGCATATAGTATCCAGTCGCCACATTCAGAACCGGAGAAAACCAGCACAGTTATGTCATGACAGGAGTATAACTGTGTTTTCTTGATAATGCATCTAAAAAGAAAGCTAGCATATACATAAGAAAAATTTCTTGATGTTTTCGAATGCAAGAACATGTCCTGTGTGAACTGTGATGATTAATGGTGCTATGTCCATTTGTGAGTTAGTTCAGATTCATTTACATTTTAGGAGCTACTTTTTCTAGAGCAAATAAATTGCATTTAAAGCATATTTCATTCACCCGATACACAATCTCACATGTGAACTTCTACACATTGCATGTTTCACTGGGCCAATCATCCCAGCTTCTCTCACGTGAGAATCTCCTCTGAGCGTCTCATCTCAAACCTCTCTGGTGATTTTATCTGGAGAGAGAGAGTGTGTGCATAGACAAGTAAAGTTAATATATAATGCTGCATGCAGGTGATCTGATCAAATCGTCTAAAGCTAGATTCATTTTGTCAGCGAATTACAAAATCAATTTAAGGTTAACAGAACAGCAATTGTACAAATTATTACCTGCAGGAGAGACCGTAGTCAGGACAATAGCATCATTGCTACTGATCATGACTTTTTCTTCATAATTAAAGTTGAATGGCAAGTCAGCTGATTGTCTAGATAAATACAGAAATAATCTTAGTTTACAACTTTTAAGCAGTTTAAAAGCACTAAAATGCTTTTTAAAGTTGTAAATAAAACAGATTATTGGAGCATGTTTCACAAGAAAATACTTTTTCAGTCTTCTATCTTTGGCCATTACTAGCAGAGTGAAAACTGTCAAAGTAAATCCTACAATAATGACTACAGTAAGAAATGTTTACTTTATATAAAATAACCTTAATTAGATTTTTGCGATCGATTCATGTTAAATAAAAAAATAGTTTGAAGTTAAATATTATAGACTATAGAGTGTTAAAACGGGTGAAAATTACGATAAAACCTTACATAGTCACTCTCTCTCCGGGGATGGTTGAACTTCGCTTTCTTTTAGATGCTCTACCTGGAGGATTCTGGAGATAATGTGAATACAGATAACATAAATCTATTTGGATGGCAGATTCATCAGAACAAGTTTTCTTGCCTTTATATATGCATCAATTGGAAAAATAGACCTTTTGATCAGACCCATGTATCAAATAAGATTAACAGTTCATTTTCTATGAGACATTGTATTTGTTTTGACTCTCTATAACCTTCAATAGCATTTCAATTACTGTAACTGTTTGTGGGATTTTGGTGCAATTCTTAATTCTAGTTATGGGCTTTTATTGGAAACTCTCCCGGGCCAAATTCTGTAAAGGACGAAATCAAGGTTCCATACATTCCATGACCAGTGAACAGTCTGAAGAAGTCAAGCTTGCTATTTCAAAGGTTAAATACACACATGATTAGGTTAAATTGCCCACCTTGACTTATGACTTAAAGGAGACATATTATGCCCCTTTTTACAATATGTAATATAAGTCTCAGGTGTCCCCAGAATGTGTCTGTGAAGTTTCAGCTCAAAATACCCCACAGATCATTTATTATATCATTTTGAAATGCTTGCAGAAAAAGGCTTACCAAAACAAAGTTACTGGGTTAATCTTTTTCATGTTTCCTTGGTTGGTAGATGCACTGGGGACCTGATTATAGCACTTAAAACCTGGAAAAGTCAGATCTTCATGATATGTCACCTTTAAGTGAACGTCAGTTAATGAAAACGCATGTGTATCAATAAATTGGATCCGTGCAGCAGCTCTTGTGACAGCAAATACTCCTGCTGCTTTGTTTCTGTATAATTTTAATCAAGCAGCAAAAGAAAAAGAGAAAATCACTCACTGATCTTGACTGACTAGCTTTAATAAGAATCAATGTATATTGATTTTGATTACTTTATTCAATCTATTATATCTTGCTTGAATGCTACTGTTAAATATATCTACTTTACATAAAACAGGCCTATTTCATTTGTGTATTTGTTTTATTGTATTTGTCCTTTTTGTTTGTTATGTTCTTATTATTAATAACAAAGATACAATAACAAAAATGACTATATCATGATATAAATTGTCAGAGCTGGGTACTGATTACATATAATCTGGATTACGTAATCAGATTCCAAAAATTAAGTACTTGTAATTAATTAAATTACATTTTAAAATACTCGTAATCAGATTACTTTTTTTGTTGATTAGATGCTTACATATTATTCACAAAATAGCAATAAATTATTCATAATTTATTGATTCTCTGTAATTCCTCCATGACATCAAGGTGAGTAAATGATAACAGAATTATCCCTTCAAGTTTATTTTATGCAATAAAAACTTCCACAAATTAATACATTAGCCTATATATAAATACAAATATACACTGCCAGTCAAAAGTTTCTGAACATTAGATTTTTTATGTTTTTAAAGAAGTATCTTCTGCTCACCCAGCCTGCATTTATTTGATCCAAAATACAGCAAAAGCGGTAATATTGTGAAATATTTTTACTATTTAAAATAGCTGCTTTCTATTTGAATATATTTTAAAATGTAATTTATTCATGTGATCAAAGCTAAATTTTCAGCATCATTACTCTGTGTCACATGATCCTTCAGAAATCATTATAACAGTCTATGCTGATTTGCTGTTCAAGAAACATTTTTATTATTATTATATTATTGACTGGAGTAATGATGCTAAAAATTCAGCTTTGAAATCACAGGAATAAATTACATTTTAAAATATATTAAAATAGAAAACAGTTATTTTAAATCATAGAAATGTTTCAAAATTGTACTGTATTTGCTGTACTTTGGATCAAATAAATGCAGGTTTGGTGAGCAGAACAAACTTAAAAAATATAAAAAATCTTACTGTTCAAAAACTTTTGACTGGTAATGTATATTTGTATATATATATCATATATACAAGTGCAACACACGTGCATGTGTGCAAACTACAATATCATTTGCAGTGCATAGACAAAGCTTGTGCTGACAGAACAAAAACTAACGTGCAGCGAGATAGGTTTTTGAGTCATATCCTGTTACAGTAAATGACTATCAATATACTAGTATTCAATATTTGAATGCATGTTGAAAAACAATCAGAACAATTTAATACAAACGAATGTCTCATGAATCGATCAATCAGAGTTTTAAAAAAGTCAAAAGAATGACGGATGCCACAGACTGATTTTTTTGGAGGAGTTAGGCCTATAGGTGGAATTTTCACATTAACTTCACGCAATATAACATGATTTTAGTATCGTAATTTTGACTTTATTCTTAAAATATTATAACGTTAATCTTATTTAGCTATTTTTCAACGTGGCACAAAAATGCTGCCATATAGGCTACTGAATGCAAACACAATTTTGGCACAGCGGCCCAAAAAAAAAAAGGAGGTAAAAAAAATAGTGAGGGGATATTTGAATTATTTGTTAATAAACTAATGTTTTCTGAGTCAATGTTGCACAAATTAATTTGAGGAA